ATTTATATTATATAATTTATATATTATAAATACTATATTTAATTTGTTTACTTGCATGTCATATGACCATTATCCAACATCAGAGAACCGTGAGCATGCAAATGTGTTACTTAATTATTAAAATGTTTATTTTAAAATCTCAGGAGGTACTTCAAGTAAATATATTAGGTGAAAGATTTGGGGATGCCTACATTACATGTACATAAGAAATAACGTTTGCGCATTTTAATGTGTTTGAAAGACAAAAGCCTTTCAAAGACATAGCAATACATGGTTAAATAACCCACTGAGTGTTAATTCAAATAAAAATTAATGTGTTCATCAGTAATTGATGCAATGTTAAAAATACTTTTTTTTTTAATCCAGTGGTCAAATGCTGTAGCCACCTGACTAATGACTGGTCTCTGTGTGAATGTTTACAAAACTGGAAGACTTTCTGAATGTAGGGTAAACGTACCTATTAAGCTTACCAAAATCTACATTGAGACATTTTTAGTGCACAAGATATTGGTTTCAGACCAAAAAGTTGTTAAAATAAAAGATTAATCTCTCATACAAAAATATTAAATTTTATTTTAAATGACAAAAGCATTTCAATTAAGATATACATATGAACAACTATCATTAACAATATGTATGAAATTCTACTTTTTCTTATTGATGTCACACTGAAGCTGTGTGATTTTCATAGTAGTGTACCCTTTAAGCTCACCTTAAAATAATATGAAATCTTTAAAAAATACTGCAGCATAAAACCACAGACCAGCAATAAACTTATTTTAAACAACCTTTTTAAAGAATAATTGAAATTAGTTTTTTGTTTTTGAATGTACAAAGTCAATCACAAAAAAAAAACAGAACACAAAAATCAAGCAACAAGGCATTCAATTTGATCAGTTATATATTCATAGTGAAGTGTCATTTAAGCACATTGCAACATCTAGACTAATCTTCATTCAGCTAAGTAACACAAATTCAAAAATCAAATAAAACAAACCAATTAATGCCTGTGGAGTAATTTATTAGCGTAGCACACAATCGTATACAGCTAGTCAGCTAACTGTGTTCTGTAGTATCTGCGCTATGTTGCTAAAAACTATCTTTTGGATCTAACTGTAATTATTTCCCACATCCAAGTTTTCAACTCCATTCAGCCGATCTCCGGGCCTGGCGGTAGCACTTTTAGCTGCAGCTTAGCATAGGTCATTGAATCTGATTAGACTGTTACCATCTCGCTCAAAAATGACCAAAGAGACTCTTCTGTAGTTACATCGTCTACTAAGACCAACGGAAAATGAAAAGTTGCGATTTTCTAGGCCGATATGGCTAGGAAGTTATAATCTGCAAAAGTCTAAACATTAATCTCTTAATTTTACAATAAGTAGTGAAACTTACACAAAATAAAGGCTTAAATATCTTAAAAATGCACATTTAAGGGGCTCCTCTTTTGGTGAAAGTTTTCAGACAGCTTTCAAAATGGCCACCAGACAGTGTGAACACAAGGAGACTCATATTTCAGTGTGCAATGATCTGATTGACTTGAAATTACAGGAGATATGCAGTAACAAACACATCAATTTGTTAAGACAACAAGTATGATAATACATTATTTTTTCTTTTTATAATCTGAGCTCAAATATGGAAGTGTGCTTAATGGGTACGTGAGCTTAGTAGGTGCGTTTACTCTATATACTGTAAGTGGTAGGCTAATTTAGGAAGGAACATTTAAAGGGGTCATATGATGCGATTTCAAGTTTTCCTTTCTCTTTGGAGTGTTGCAAGCTGTTC